ACCTTGTACAGCATTCAGAATGCGAGCGTGTGAACTTAATTCTTAATTGTATTGCTCTTTTGCACTTTTGCTCTCAGATGCAGAAATATCGAAAAAAGTTTGATAAGCTGAAAATTAGATGAAATGGTGGTTGTACATATCTTTGTTGCACGGAATGTTTTTCTAAAACATTCAGACTGTTTTAGAAAAACAGCTATAGTATAAAAGTTGTAGCAAACTTTATTCTTAACAATATTGCTCTTTTACACTTTTGCTCTCAGATGCATAAGTATCGAGAAAAATTTAAATAAGTGCAAATTAGATGAAATCGAGGGTTTGCATCTTATTATTAGTACCGCACGGGATTCCGAACATTTTGCAAAAAGAATTTTAGTATAAAAGTTCTAGCTAATCTCATTCTTAACAATATTGCTGTGTTACACTTTTGCTCTCAGATGCATAAATATCGAGATACGTACGAAAAGGTGAAAATTAGATGAAATCATTGTTTTACATCCTATTGTTGGTATGCATGGGATTCGGAACGTTTTAGAGAAAAAATTTTAGAAAATTTTGTTTTTAACAATATTGCTCTTTTAGACTTTTGCTCTCAAATGATGACTCCATTTACGCGGGGGTTAGGTACCGCGAAAATTAATGCATTGAATTATATGGAATCCCGTTCGGTTCCAAAAATTAAAATACATTTATTGAGTATTGAATATTGAGTTTTAAAACACAATTATTAGAAATACAGGATCGCTGATATGTATGAAAATGGTCAGTTATCTCCTAAACTAAGATACAAAGTTTCAAAAAGATTTAAAGTTCAATATCTCGAAAACGGTTAAGTTTAGGTTTATGATGCACTTTGTTTAGAACTTCGAGACGAACAGAAATATGGAATAATATAGAGGATGACCCATTAAAGAAAACGTAACTTTGTTTAGTCATAACTTTTTGACTGAACCTGTACACTTAATTTGTAATTTATTGTAATGGATTTAAAAAAGCATTATTAACAATTTTTGCTAGCTAGCTTACTTTAGGAAATAACCAACCGTTTCCATCCATATCAGCGGCCCTATATTATTATACAGGATTTCCCAAAAGTAACGGATAAATTCGTTAAAACAATTAAAAACAGTTTATGGAAAACTCGCTGATATGGGTCTAAAGTTTTAAATTGTTTGCAATTGTTTGGTATAGAGTTTAAATTTTGTCCGCCATGTTTAAACGAGTAATGACGTCATCGATATTTTTTCAAATAGCAATTCCCCATTTCTATTAGGGAGTATGAAAGAGGACTTTTTCTGAATCTAGTACATAATAATGGTTACATAAGAAAATTTTCGAGAAAAATGAAAGTTTCATTATTTTCCATTCATTTGATGTAGAAAAATAGCAGTAGCCGTGCCTAACCATGGCAACCAACTGTTTCAAATATCAAAAATTAATCAGTCTTAATAAAATATCTGAAACAACTGGTTGCCATGGTTACGCATGGCTACTGCTATTTTTCTACCTCAAATGAATGGAAAATCATGAAACTTTAAGGCAATTTTTCTCGAAAATGTTTTTATTTAGCTAATATTAATTTTAGCTGTACCAAATTCAGCAAAAAATCCTCTTTCATATTCGGTAGTAAAAATGGGGGATTGCTATTTGAAAAAAATAGCGATGACGTCATAATTTGCCTAAAAATGGCAGAAAAAATTTAAAATCTATACCGAAAATTTGAAAAAGATTAAAATTATTAGACCCGTCTCAGCTCCTTTTCTATTAACATATCTGTTAGTCTTTCTCCCATTTCTAAACATTTGTTAACTGTTTTGAGAATTAACAAAACTGGAATACGGTTTTCGTTATTTTGTCTGGAATACAGTCACTGCATTCATAATTATCATCAGTTACGAAATCTGCCAGCCCTTCTTCTTTCGCTTCAGAATCATGTGACTCAACTAGCTCTTCAATATTCGACAGTTGAATGATGGCCACTAATTCATCTCCCGGTAACAACCGCCCTAAAGCTACTGTAACCTGGATGTCATTCTGCAAATTCTCATCATCTTTCTCTGATGTGACAACATTTGACCACATTTTCCTCCAGCAACCATTTAGTGTGGATTTATTCAATTCACGGCGCTACTGTTCAATACATTCTATACAATCAGCATTGTTGTAATTTTTCCAGCATTGTAGTAAAGTTAGGTCGGTATCACTGTCCAAATTATCTAGCAACTTCTTGAAAGTTCTTCTGGTTCTAGTACAATATGCCTTAAATGTAGATGAAGAAGACAAGTTGCATTCTAGAATTCTGGAATTTAGTGATTTATAATAAACCAATAATGGTTTGAATAACAATAATCCATTTGAACCAAACAGAAGAGTGAGATCATTTTTGGATATAAAAGCTCTTGTGGGCAATTTCTTCAAAAAAGGCCGGTCTCATCTGCATTGAATACTTGCTGCGAAACGTTATCACCATCTTGAATTATCCTCTTTAGGGATCGGGATACAGCTTTGCTGCCTCATGATCGGCTGAAGCAGACTCTTCTATCAATATCAAATTGTAAAGGCTGTGACAATTTTTAAATTTGTCGAACCAACCCTTACTTGTCGAAAATGGTTTTATTGCAATATTTGATAAGGGTTCACTTTTCATAAAATTGTTGTATAGCAGTGGTGTCCACTTGGTGTCTTGTCAAGATCGACCGAAGGGTTTAAAGTAACCTTTCAGATTCATGATTTTCTTGGCAATCGATGTTATGGCCACCACTGATTTAGAGCTTATAAATAAAAAATAGCAATAATTGAGTTCAATCTTTTTATGGATCTAGTCTTTATCGCCCATTACTAAGGTTTTATGTAGAAAAAGTATTTCCGCATTGCTTTTAGTTTCTGAGTTATGATTGAGTTAATTTTCGAAAATCAACAATTTTGATGTTTAATCGATTTAGAGCTTATAAATAAAAAATGATAATGATTGGGTTCAATCTTGTTGTGGATTTAGTGTTTATGGCCCATTACTAAGGTTTTATGTATAAAAAGTATTTCCCCATCGCTTTTAGTTTTTGAGTAATGATTGAGTTAATTTTCGAAAATCAACAATTTTGATGTTTAATCGATTTAGAGCTTATAAATAAAAAATGGTAATAATTGGGTTCAATCTTGTTATGGATTTAGTCTTTATGGCCCATTACTAAGGTTTTATGTATAAAAAGTATTTCCCTATCGCTTTTAGTTTTTGAGTTAATTTTCGAAAATCAACAATTTTGATGTTTAATCGGTTTAGAGCTTATAAATAAAAAATGGTAATAATTGGGTTCAATCTTTTTATGGATCCTGTCTTTATGGTCCATTACTAAGGTTTTATGTATGAAAAATATTTCCCAATCGCTTTTAGTTTATGAGTTATGATTGAATTAATTTTCAAAAGTCAACAATGTTGATGTTTAGTCGATTTAAAGCTACTAAATAAAGAACGGTTATAATTGGGTTCAATCTTTTTGTAGATCTAGTCTTTATGGTCCATTACTAAGGTTTTATGTATAAAAAGTATTTCTCCATCGCTTTTAGTTTTTGAATTATGATTGAGTTAATTTTCGAAAATCAACAATTTTCACGTTTAATCGATTTAGAGCAGTGGTGTCCACTAATTTTTGATCAAAATCGACTTTTTATATGAGTAAATGTTATCCATTTTTATCACTTATTGATATTTAAATAAATAGAAACAATTGTACTTAGTGATAATATTATTTATTCAATCTTTACCGGTTTCGGCTCACATTAAAGAGCCTTCCTCAGAAGATATCTCCTTAAATTATTACAATAAAATTAACAATCAGCAGAGTGGACGTTGTGGTTTTACTTACGTCAGTATGGAAAATAATTGAAAGGTAATTGATAAAATCTTGATAAAATTTGCATATGTCGGCAAATTAAAATTTCTTGTATAATAAACGTCACGGAAAATATGAAATCACAGTTCAAACACACAACAAAATCGACAATAACAACATGTTTGTCAAAAACAAGTTAAAAAATCAAAGTCTATACAGAAATCTGTAACAAATTCTATTTTATGTAAATGTCTTGCTAAGATCAACCGAAGGGTTTAAAGTAACCTTCCTTTTTTATTTTTGTTCTGAAGCCCAGATATAGATATTTCAGATTCATGATTTTCTTGGCGATCGACTCAAAACTGCTTTGCGATCGACGTTATGGACACCACTGTTGTATAGCATTATCTCTAATGAGTCCAGAGCTTCGAATGGATGTTTTTTGAGTTTCCATAAAATCAACGAATCAACAACATAGAATATCTGAGAAATATTTAAGATTCACGAAGTATTTCAACACTGTTTCGATATTTCTTTATTTTCACGAATAGTTCTTATATAAGATTCGTTAACGTTATTTTTTCTAGCTACTTCTGCTAAAGTCATTCTTTTATCGAAATCGTCTAATATCGCACATTTTTGTAGAAGTGATAACACTTTTCTAGATCGTTTAGAATCTGTCATATTGAAATTTCAGGTGAGATAATCGCGTAAAAGTGCATCGACCAACGCGTAAATTAAGCATCAGTGTTAAATCCTGATTCGCGGTATAGCGAATCCGCGTATAAATATACGGCGTAAATGAAGGGATATTATTATTTTTAGATTTTATTAGGCCATTTTAGACTTTCGAGCTTCCAGACGTGTACCAACTACGAGCCGAACACGGTGTTATTGTTAGGGCTGTACAAGGTTAAGAAACTATGGCGAATCGAATGTTTATTTTCGTGCACTTTCATAATATTTTCTTCATTTCAGCGGAATTCAAAAGAGATTTGAATCGGGTATTTTCACATTCGTGTTGACCAAGAATTAAGTTTTCGAATGAGATATTGTTCATCAAAATCGATTGATATGTTTTCTTGTTATAATCAAAATAATAAACACGTAAAATCCTTTCTAATTGGGGGCTAACTTCGCATTGGTAAAAATTGTTCTTTCCTTAAAATAAATTTAGTTGAAATAATTTTTTAAACATATATATAGATGTATATTTGTTTATTAAATCGGGTTTCGCGTCGATTTATAGAGCGCGCAGAATCAGAAATATTGATGACAAAAGTACCCCAAAGTCCACAGTCAACCTCTCCGAGCTTACGTGCAGCTTTTCCTGCAGCCCAATCTCCTTTTTCCCAACCGAAAAATCAGTTCCCTCCGCACAGAAGACGCGTTTACTCCTGCTGCTACCATTATTTTTCTTATTATTGTAACTTATTGACACATTTTCTTCCCGCGTCATCATCCTCACAGATTGCACAAGTAATTTTCATTTTGTTAACAATGACGAGTACTTTAATTCAACAGTTAGGTGCGTAAAAAGTTGTAATTATTACTAATTTTAAATTATAACTTATAATTATGTGGTTTAGGAGTTTTCATAAACATCCTGTTTAATTTGATAATCCTTATCCATATCGTCTAAAAAGTGTATATATTTTTAGGTGTTTAAAGTGAAATGGAAATCCAAAGAGTATGGACGTCTCGATACACAGTTTTCACAATTCTTTTCGTTCTGTTATGCACTTACAATTATTTCCAACCCGCTGCTTTGGTCAAGGTGGTCATAATAAACAATACTACGGTCAAACCAGGTAAAATCGTACTTAATATAAACTCTTAAATAAGAAAATCGTTTCACACATCTTGCCCTTGAAATAAAATTGAAAAATAACGAACAGAATAATAACTTTTTTCATTCAACATCTCGAATTAACTTATGAATGAAACCTCTGTTATAAAACTTAATTTATTCGATTTGTTTTAGTTCAAGATATTCCAAAAGTAAATGACCCTCAATTTCTGATAAACACTCCCAAGTGTAAAATAGCAAATCTAGATGTATGGAATGAAGAGGTGGCAAAATTGTTCGCTAAAGAACCTTACGTTTACTGTTCAAAACATCCCCTTTTGACCTACATCGAAAAGAATGCTACGTACGCAAAAGTAAAAATAGACCGAAAAGTTGGACGTCAATACACCAAAAATTCGATAAAATGCTGTTATAAATGGTTGGAAAGGTCAAGCACTGCACCGATCCCAGATGAAAGTATTACGTAAGAATATTAATTAATTAATTGATTTAGAAGTTATTTGATTAATTCTCACCGTAAAGTTATAACCCATCTATGATAGTTGCTCACCAAGTAGGTTTAAAATCTAAAACATTTCAAATTGATGCATTTAACAAAAAAATTATTGATTTCTTCTAGTTCTACAGAATCTTATCAAAAAATGTTAATTGATAATTCACCAATTGGTTCTCATCAATTCTGTCTACACATTAAACCTGAATATAAAGCTCCTACAAATCAAATTAAAGGTAAAAATTTAACCGTTAGTCTATGACAGCGTATTATTACAATTTAAATGACAACACCACCCTCCTTAAACTCTTAACGCACTCACTCGAGTTGTATAGATAGTCCTAACTTAAAAAAAAATGTCGTAAATGACCCTTGATGGATGCCATAATGCAAGCAAAAATCTAGAATTACTCTCTCAGCCTCCAACCTACAAATATAAGTTTGGAATTACGATAACCAAGCATCGTACTGCAAAGAAATTTTAGACTTACTTTAGTCAGAGTCTTCAAGGAACTTCAAGAAAATGTTGTAATTGGCAGTAGTCAAATTGCAGACATTAGAACAAGACTGGAATTACATTGATAAGATTTTCAGCTGCAAGAATATGGCTGCAATAATGCTGAACCCTAAAGAAAATGTCTCAAATTGTTCTTGATTGATGTCATAATACATAACACTGGAATTACACTGATAAGATTCTAATCAAGAAGAAGACACTGAAGGACACATAACGGCAACACTGAAGACTAAAGAAAAAGTTTTTTTCCTCTTTTTTACTTTAGAAACTTCAAACTTTATTTTTTATTTGCTCTGGCCAAAGTGTACAGTTCAAGAATTGTATACTGCAATTCTGAAGGCGACGCAGGACATCCTCGTTCTCGAGAAGCTGCATGGATTCGATGTTGGGATGATCGTGCAATCTCTTCTCATGTTTAGATGCGAATGATGCAATCTGATGAGACCGATGCTACTTTCAAGTCGCGATGGAGGTCGGTGTTTCTTATATACCAGGGTGCATTCGCTATGCACCTTAGTACTTTGTTCTGGACTCTTTGAATCAGACTTGCATTTGTCTTGCAGGTACAACCCCATAGTTGGATTCTGTATGTCCATTTTGGTTTTAAAACTTGCTTGTATATTAGCAACTTGTTTCTTAGTGATGGCGTTGATTTTCTGCCAATAAGCCAATATAGGTTTTTTTGACGTGAGCTTACCATTTGAGTTTGGCACCCAGCGTCATACCAAGATATTTTGCGGTGTCGGCGTAATGGACTGCATTACCATTTATGTGTACTGCGACATAGTTTACTTTCCTATAAGTAAAGTTTATGTATGTGGATTTATTTGTATTTAGTTTTATTAGCCATCGTTTGGTCATGTTATCTATTGAATTTAAGGCCAATTGTAACTTATTTGCTGCAACTACTTCATTTTCTGCGACAGCCAAGATCGCTGTGTCATCTGCGAATGTAGCTGTTCAAGTGTCTGGTACCTGAGGAAGGCCAAGCACACTTGCTTGAGGAACTCCGGCTAGTATTTCATGTAGTGCTGAATAAGCGTTTTCGTATTTTATTCTCGTATCAGAGAGATACGATTTTAATAGTTGACTATACGTTAATGGTGGTATTTGATCTAGTTTGTAATTTAAACCATCTAACCAAACTTTGTCGAAAGCTTGTGCAACATCCAGATATACGACGTAGCAGACTTTATTTTCATAATTTCATTTGTATTTCATAATACAGTTCTTTCATTCTTACACATGGTATATTACTTTGCCAATCATTTTGAATTCCGCTAGGGACACTATTTAGCATAGTTGTTAGACTGTCTGATGTAAAAGTTTCTTTCAGATGTTCAGCAAACAAATTAACTTTTTCTTGATTGTTCTTAGCCCAATTTCCATTATTATTTCGAATTGGAGGTGTATGTGTTTTTGGAACTTTAAGCTTTCTTGATTAAATTATCCATTAGCAAGCTTTGTTTAAGTCAATTTATATAAAACAAAATTTTCCTCTTTCTTGCTATTTATTTTATTATGCTTCTAAATCGATTTCGAGGAAACAATCCTTATCTTCAGTAGAATCTTATATAAAAAATTTTTAAAAACAATATGAAATAAATCCAAAATTTCTATAAATTTACTTACTGTCAGTTTAGTTGAAAAAATATATTAATCATCAAATTTAACACATCCTCCAAAGTTAACTTCATCTTTTTTATCCAAACTTGAAAATTTCTTACTTTAATAATTGAACAAATATAATAGAATATCAAATTCAAAACCAAAAGTTAAAATACACTTAAAACAAAATCCAAAATAATATAAAACAAAATTTCTATTTTGGATTTCTAGTTAGTGATAAAAAGGGTTTTTTGTTACATACTATGTTATTTAGAGTAATAATTACTGGTGAGTGATCTGTGTCCAGCCCTAACTCTTCTTCTATGTTTACGAAGTTAAGCGATATATTTTTCGTAATAAAAAAATCAAGCAGGTCCGCAATTTTACTTCTATCTGTTGGCCAATAAGTTGGCTTCCAAGTGGAGAGCACCTCACAATTTAGGGCCTCTATTGCATGGTTCAGTTCTCTTCCTTTTGTATTTGTCAAACGAGAACCCTTAGACATATGTTTTGCACCATTCGCTTTTTCGGCATACGACGCCTGGCTTTATTTTATTTGAATTTACTGTTTTCTTATTCCTGATGGCTTGTAGTTCTTTAATTTCAATGCATCCTTGGTAGTTCGCTGGATGATTTTCTCCACAGTTGAACATTTAGCCGGGATTTCTTTGGCTTTAGTGCATTCGCTGGTCCAGTGTTCACCAGCACATTTAACACATTTCCGATTTTTGTGGCAGTAAGCTTTGGTATGGCTCCAACCTTGACACCTTTTGCACTGGGGCATTTGTTTTGGCTTTCTATACTCTTCGATTTTCACACGCATTCCTAATATGTTTGTTATTTCATGTATTCTTTTTACATCCTCTGACAGTGCAAAGTCCAAGATGTATAAAGGAATAGGTTCTTTTGTTTTGTATTTCAACATTCTTGTTACTTTACAAATGTTATACTTGCGCTCCAATAGATCATCTTTGATATCATTAATATCACAGCTTTTATGCATCTTTTTAGCGACCACTTTCAGATTTCTGGTTTGCTTATTTTCATAAGTTGATCAGGTTAAATTCTTTTCAGTACGCATATTTGATGCTTCTCTGCATTTTTCTTCAGAATTAAGATTCAGTTTTACTGTGCCGTTATTTAGCGCATGTGTTAAAATTCCATCTTTAATTACGCTTTTAAGTAATATAAAATGTCATCATTGAATTGCAGTGACTACAAAAAGTTCGTTAAATTGGTTTGCTATTGGAATTACCTCGGTTGATTTTCTCAAGGACCCATGTCTACNTTTAGTTTTATCACTAGGAATTCTATTGGTTTGCCATTTCTTTCTTGCTTTCCGTTTTTCTGCATTTTTGTCTATAATGAATTTAGGATAAATATTAGATTTAGGTTTTGGTGTTAAAATTGGTGTTGAGGCCCAGCTGCGTTTTGTATGTCTTTTAAGAACTTTTCTACTTCATTGTCAATGTCTTCGTTTGTTTTCATAAGAGCATTAAGATGAATTTTATTATCTAATGTTTGTTAAAATAGATTCCAATTAGTGAGTTTACTAGTTAGTGATAAAAAGGGTTTTTTGTTACATACTTTGTTATTTAGAGTAATAATTACTAGTGGGTGATCTGAGTCCAGCCCTAACTCTTCTTCTATGTTTACGAAGTTAAGCGATATATATTTCGTAATAAAAAAATCAAGCAGGTCCGGAATTTTACTTCTATCTGTTGACCAGTAAGTTGGCTTCCCAGTGGAGAGCACCTCACAATTTAGGGTCTCTATTGCATGGTTCAGTTCTCTTCCTTTTGTATTTGTCAAGCGAGAACTCCAAGACATATGTTTTGCATTAAAGTCTCCTCCAAGTATAAATTTGGTGCCAAGATGTAGTAGAATTTTCTGATAATCTTCGCTTTTGAGATTATGTCTCGGTGGTATGTAAGTACGTTGCTCCTACAGATATTAAGCCATTAGCAGTTTGAACTTTTACCACTGTAGTTTGGTGTTGTTCAGTACTAATTGTTGTTCATTGTATTGTTCAAATAGTGGTCAACATTCCTTTTTATAATAATTGCACGATTAATGTATTTACAGTTTTCTCTACAGTTTCACCACTCGCTTTTTCGGTATACGAGCCTGGATTTATTTTATTTGAATTTACTGTTTTCTTATTCCTGATGGCTTGTAGTTCCTTAGTCACAATGCATCCTCGGTAGTTTACTGGATGATTTTCTCCACAGTTGAAACATTTAGCCGGGATTTCTTTGGCTTTAGTGATTTGGTGGTCCAGTGTGCACATTTAACACATCTCCGATTTTTGTGACAGTAAGCTTTATTATGGCTCTAACCTTGACATCTTTTGCAGTGGGGCATTTGTTTTGGGTTTCTGTACTCTTCGATTTTGACACGCATTCCTAATATGTTTGTTATTTCATGGATTCTTTTTACATCCTCTGACAGTCCAAAATCCAAGATGTATAAAGGAAAAGGTTCTTTTGTTTTGTATTTTAACATATGGGTTACTTTACAAATGTTATACTTGCGCTCCAATAGATCATCTTTGATATCATTAACATCACAGCTTTTATGCATCTTTTTAACGACCACTTTCAGATTTCTGGTTTGCTTACTTTCATAAGTTGAGCAGGTCAAATTCTTTTCAGTACGCATATTTGATGCTTCTCTGCATTTTACTTCCGAATTAAGATTCAGGTTTACTGAGCCGTTATTTAGCGCATGTGTTAAAATTCCATCTTTAATTACGCTTTTAAGTAATTTATAAATGTCATCATTGAATTGCAGTGACTACAAAAAGTTCGTTAAATTGGTTTGCTATTGGAATTACCTCGGTTGATTTTCTCAAGGACCCATGTCTACATCACTTGATTGAAATTAAAACGAACCTTATACCGACAGAATACAATTTCGACCAGCCGTATAAGGTTATATTTAGAAGCAGGGATGATTAGACGAAAGGTGGGCCTCAACTAAAAAGAAGAGCCCTTGCCTGGTACACGGATGTTTCAAAAATAGTTGGATCCGGAGTAAGCATGGGCATTAGTGGACCAAATAGCCGCATTATATTGCCCCTCAGTGTTATGTATTTAAACAGACGCGCACGCTCTCTACAGTGTATGAAGCGTGTGTCAGAGGAGTGACTTGCAAAACTGTATGTTATTAAAATAAATATAAATACATAGAGTTCGAATGTGGGTTTGATTGACCGGGTACACAACACTCAGCTCGGGCATAACCATTTTTCAAGCAGAAGTTCTTGCCATAAACTAACTTACCCAACCTACAAAAGAGACAGAAAGGTGAATCTATAAACATTTTCACAGACAGTCGGGCAGCCCTAAAGGCAATTTGGGCCTACACGTGTGACTCCGCAGTGATCAGAGAGTGTAGCAGCAACCTGAGAGGACTCGTTAGGGGCAATGATATTACTCTATGGTGGGTTCTAGGTCATAGAGACATTTAGGGCAATGAGAAAGCGAACAAGCTGTCCAAAGAGGCAGTGAAAATGCACTTCATTGGATATTCATTCAAACAAGTAATCAACAATTAGGAGGCCTCAAAGGTAGCCTGACGTTTGAAAGAACTTCCAGGACACAGACAAGCGAAGAATATGACAACTCCGTCGCAAAACAAAACCTGGTTGTATGCCTCAGCAAAGGGAATCTAAGGTCGCTCTCAGGTTTCCTGACCGGCCATGCGACAATAAAATACCACCTCTTCCGTATTGGACAAGCTGAAGATCAAACTTGTCGACTTTGCAACGGCAAGTCAGAAATAGCTGAACATTGTACTGTGTAACTGCGTTGCACAGTACATCACATGTCAAACAGATATTATAACAGATTGAGTTGAGTTGAGATGTGTTGGTTTATTTTGTGGCTAACCTGCTTTGAATTGGAATCTTATTGGATCTCACCCGAATAAAGTTCCTACCGGTGAATGGCGGCTGTTTTGTTTGCAAATTTTATGTCGTACATAAAACTTTAGAACACAGTAACAGTGATTCAATGAGTGATGATATCAGAGGAGAAAGGTATTGATGATTAATAAAATCATCAGATCAAGATGTAATCATTGATTACAATGATTACATCTTGATCCTAAGGCTGAGGCCGCTTGCGACTCAGGCGTTTCAAATAATACCATGTCGATCTAAATATGGCTAAACTAAGAATAAACTATATTATAATTGGCCTAAATATTCGCCTGCCAGATCTAGCCCGTCTTCTACGTGCACAAGATTTGAAGAGATACGTTTACTAATAAACAAATTTAGTAGATCGAGAATTTTATTTATTGTCAGTCGGCCAGTATGTGAGTTTTCTAGTTGAGTGATACTCGCATTGTTTTTGTAGGTTAATTTGTAGGTTAATTGCTTTCGTATAATTCTCTACCATTGATTGTTGTAATTCTTGATCCCCAGTGAGTGTGCCAAGTCTCTTCCAAAAATAAACCTATCTCCTACTTACTGAAGAAGAGATTTGTATTGCTTCTTTTTAAAATTATGTTTTGACGGGCAGTAAACGGCTACTAGGGTTAGCGTATAATGCTTAGTTCTAATTTGACTAAGGTTACTCGCTTAGGCATCTTTTTTTTTTCATGATTGACTATTCTGGCTTTTCTCCTCGCACACAATTTTAGGGTTGGCTGGTGTGGTACATTTGATAACGTTTTAGTTTTAGATGTGATTGTGTCGTGAAATGTATTTCTGACATTAGCACACATCCATTTTTTGTCTGTTTCTTGTGTGGTCAGGAGAAGCTTCCTGGTTTGTTTGATCGCCAGCATTTGCTAGCTCATGTGAGGTTACCCAGGGTGCACCACGAGGAGGCCAATTAGGATCACATGTAACGCTACAAAGCAACAGAATTTGTTGAAAACGGTAGAAAACCGGAACGTCCAGAACTCAAGCCGAAAAAGCCCCTAAAGACGAAAATCAAACATCTCTCCAAATATTATTGACTCCCACATAGATGTAAGATGTAACGTCTAGTACACCAAAAAACATAAAACCGCAATAAAACGAAAACTCATGGACCTTTTCACACCTGAAGAAATTGAGGCATCGGACCCAGCTTGATAGATGCGCCTAGTTTCTGCATAAATGGGGCAAGACATTGACCCTTCTGCGAATGCGGTGAAAATTAAACTGTGAAACATATTGTAGCAGATTGTCCTAGGACATACATGAAGATTTCCTGTTGGCGACTCAAGAATCAATATCTTACATAAATGAATTAAAAGTCTGTTTGTAACCGTGGCTGTGATTGTAGTTATAATTATAATAGTGTATTGTTTATCCAGTCTGTGCATAATCTTTTTACAATCTTATAGTACTAGGTTATTCGTTGTCTTTTACGAGTTCAGCTTGTGGTTTTTGGATTGGTTGGGTTCTGGTCTAAGTTTGTCTATTGGTCTTTGATTGGCCCTTTTTGTATTTAGTTAGTCTTTCAGGACTTGTTCCTAAGATTTTGTATTGCTGCCGCTATTATGCAACCTCTATAATTTGCAGGTTGTACTGCTCCATAATTAAAGCATTTAGGCTTAAATTGCTGTAGCTTCACGCAATATGAAGTTTGATGTTGTCCTATGCACTTAACACACCAAGGTTATTTCTTGCAGAAATGTTGTGTGCGCCCAAAGAATTAACACCTTCTGCATTGGGACACTAATTTAAATTTTCTTACCGTTTCGATATCAAGATGGTTTCAATTTCGTGAACTTGTTAGATGGCCTTCATTGCTGAAAGTCAATGTGAAGACAGACAAATGTGTTTTGACCGTTCTTTTTAATATGTTCCATCTACTTAGTATTGTGTAACCAGCATCTCTTAGATTTCTAACTGTTTTCTTAACTTTGATTGCCACAACTGGGAAATAAAGAGGGAAGAATACATTTTTTGATAAGATGTCTTCTAAGGACGTTGTAAACCGGAACCAGTTGTTATATAGACGAAATTTGAATTCTTGACATGTTAAATAATTTAAAAAAAAGTTTCATTAACAACTTTATGAAAATAATTGATTTCAATTCTATACCTCTCGATTATATAAATTTGTATCATTCTTATTTTTGTTTTAGCATATCGAAGAACTGTATAGATTTTGATGAAGAAGTGGTGATAAACAATAAGACTGTAATGGTAACATGTCGTGATGCGAAATATTCGCGCTCAATAGTGTACAGTAACGTCCACGTAGCAATAACAATTAGTAACAAACAATACGTGAACATGCAAAAAACTAAAGAATCATTTACAGCAAATAATACAAAACCGATCAGTTTGTTAATAATCGGCATCGATAGTATTTCCCGCTTAAACTTTTATAGAACGATGCCTACAACGAAGAAGTTTCTAGATGAAAATGATTGGATCGAGTATATAGGTTATAACAAAATGGGTGAGAATACATTTCCGAATCTAATGGCGATGTTGACGGGGAAATGTCCTGATTATGCGTATAAACAATGTGATCCCACGATACGTGGTAAATTGGAAACGTGTCCTTTTATTTGGAAAGATTTTAAAAATCTCGGATACGTAACGGCGTATGGGGAAGATGAGGATGCGATATCTACGTTTAATTATAAGAAAAAAGGGTTTGTCAAGAACCCGACCGATTTTTATTTCAAAACTTATATGCACGGCGCTGCGAAATTAACGACAAAAATCGTTGATGATATGCATTATTGTACTGGTCCGGAACAAAGCGGAGAGCGAATTTTAAATCTAGCAAAAGATTTTTCAAAAACTTTTTATGGGCATCCGATGTTCGGTTTATTTTGGATGAATAGTTTTAGTCATAACAGCGTTAATTCACCCACTCGCCTTGATAAAAAAGTTGCGTCTTTCTTCAAAGACCTCAAAAACGATGGAATTTTAAACGAGGTGATGATTATTTTTGTCAGCGATCACGGAATGCGATTCGGTAAAGTTCGACAAACTACAAGCGGTTGGATAGAAGAGAGATTGCCTTATTTATACTTCTGGGTACCACCTTGGTTGAGACAAACACGTCCAAAAGAATACAATAATCTTCGAAATAACGCGAAGCGTTTAACTAGTCCATACGATATGTATATGACAATACAAGATATATTGGTGCTTTCTAATTTTACTTATGCTCCTATACAAAGCGACAGTTGCCCTATGTGCCAATCACTTTTTAAAGAAATTCCAGAGCCTCGATCTTGCGAAGAAACTGGAATAAGCACACATTGGTGCACTTGTAATGGTTATGTGCCAATAAAAACAGACAACAAATTAGTTGGTCAATCTGCTAACATTACCCTACAATGGATTCAATCCAAAATACAAGAATTAGTTCCCGGCACAAATAAATGCGCAAGTTATACATTAGCAAAAATTATGAGTGCTAGTTTATCTGCCGATTCTATTAATACAAATGATAACACCACAAGCACGCACATATTGTTGATGTTTGAAACAAAACCTAAAGCTATTTTCGAATCAACAGTTACTGTAACAAAAAGTAATGTTATTGATGATAATACTAGTAGTAGACAAACCTTTAAGGTATTATACGTCAGCAGATTGGATGAATATAAACCACACAGTGGTTGTATAGAAGATGCAAGGGCCAAAAATTATTGTTATTGCAAAAAGCATTAGATAATTATCGATAGTTATTAATTAAATGACACAAATGAACGAATGCTGAATAAATCGTCGATTTCTTTTTGCTTCGTTTGGATGTCCCAAATAAAGTATGTGGTAAGTAAAGAAATATCATATAATATCATAAAATTTACATATTAAGTATAGAACGCAATTTATTAGTTTTAAATTTAACGTTTTAAAAAGTTTTTAATGAAGGTTTTCATTAAATCTTTCAATTTTACATTAATCTTCAGTAAAACATGGGCAGTGATAGCCCCACAATGTCAGTTTCGGCCGAAACAAATTCCAAGTTTGCAAATAATAATCAACAGCGATATTTATTGTCCAACTGTCGAAAAATTACACTATGCCATTCGACAGTTGTCATTCCAATTAAATTAGAATATATCAATGGGTGAGGAGAAGACAGATAAGAGTTTACAGTGGAAAATAACATATCATCTTTGGATCAAAGAGGTAGAACCAAACTGAAAGTTCATCGAAATCCTGAAGTCATTGTGAAGAACATCAATTTAATTCCAAAAAAGTATTCCCATTATTCCTCAGTTTGCAGCCACATATTTTGACACTAGTTTATCAATTTTCAAAATTTTTATTGAAAAGTATCCTGCTACAAAAATGGCATAAAGTATTACTTTTTTCAAATAATTCAGAGACAACTTTAGCTGCAAGTTTGGAAGGCTACAGGTATAAAAGTGCTCTACATATGAAGCGTATAATGCAAAACTCAAGTCCACTACTTTCAATGAAACAACAAAACGGCAAGTAGTGACGGAACTGCTGGTGTACAAGAGACGGGCCATAAAGTATTATCGCAAAATTCCAAAAGTAACTCTCTGTAAACAGAAATATGTGTTTTATCCAGGAAATGTGCAAGAAGTGTTTCATCTCAGTCAATGCTAGTATTATGTTTTCAATATTCATGACATAGGTAGTGAAAACTCCATTTTCTTTACATTCTTCACCAGCTTTTCCAGGCATATGTTGAACGCTTGTTGATACGCGATCGCGCCCCCATAACGTAGTCTGTAACTTACTCCTATGCTTTTTGAAATGTTATTTTTTATTTTTATGCAGCATCTGACGTTCATCATTGTTATTCTTACCAGTTGATTGATTACACATAGCTTGGCGAAAAAGGTGTTTTCAGCAGTGTAAGAGTTGTATGATTACTGAAGCCAAATGATAGAGTTATCGAGGAAAGGTTGTTGGTATATATGGAAAGAGAGGGTCAGCTGAATGAAGGACTGTTTGGGTACAGAATAACCAGAAAGGACACAATTTGGGGTATAGCCACGTTGCCAGATCATTAGGTTCCCTTCTTAAAGATAGCGGAGCATTAAATCGATGTCAAAAAATGCGGTTCCTTCAACATCAAAGGAACCGAAATCAGTATCATTTCTGGTTATTCTGTGGTTTGGGTTCAGGCGAAAAATAAGATGAATGGACAACATGCGGTAATAGTGGGGTTGAATGTTGAGAATGCATTCAACACGGGTATTTTGCGTACGTTGGAGAGAATGGGGTGTTCCGATTATCTTATGTGTGCTATATAGATAATTTTTCAAGGGACAGAAACATGGAGTGTGAGGAGATAGAATACAGGACAAACAGATGATGCACGCAGAACTCTAGTTTGGATAAAGTCTTGTGGATTTATGTCAGTACAGGCATATGCCTGCGATGATCGAATCATTCTGTCTGACGTCACGATGAGGAATGAGAAAATTGGAAGGATTATTCAGTTGTGTTAAAAAGGTTAGGGGCCCGGTGCTGAGGACCGGTTCGGGAAATGTAAAAATGGTGAGTGCTCTGAACTATTTAGGTGTGGAAGTGGCCTGCACTAACATATGAAGCGGAAGTATAATAAGATATGATTTTATTAGGTTTGCAAACGGAGCAGAGAGTTTTTCCGTTGTGGGAACCGACGCGACGGACGCTTTGTAAATAAAGTCCGCATGGCGCCTCTTTATTTGACGCATAAAAATAGTTGGAGCTGATATGATATCTGATGTTCAACTACAACACATCTGTGGTAGGGTGGTTAAGAAAAAATAAAAAGAGGAACATGGAAACAAATGATATAATGAAATTTGAGAAGAGATGGTAAAATAGTGAAACTAACCTGGATGGTTAGAGATGAAGGCAGTATGTAATGGGATAAAGAAAGAGAAGTGTATAGAATTATTAAGAAAGATTAGATGGTTATTGTGGCCATGTCCAGCAAGGGCATATAGCCCCTGACGGGATATGTACCATTCAATATTTATTTAAAAAAGTTCAAATTAATGGGCGTATGGAATGTATGTGTGAAACCAGTGAAAGTAGATTCCAACAAATTACACTAGTATGTATGGATAGCAGGAAAGAAGAAAGAATATAGGGAGTGTAAAGGAATATAGGATGGACTTATGGACAGGGCGGATGGTTATCCGCCATGTTGGCGATCACCAACTGAAAAAGAAATGCCCAAGGTTCCACTCATCGTGCATTTCTTCTATGGTTCATATTTACTTGTATATTGAGAAACACCGCAGAAATTTGGTTGCGGGTAGATTACCGTAAGATGGGGTTACTTGGACACGTTTTTTGCGCATTTTTCGAGATTAAAACTGAAGAAATAAAGTTAGGGCAACAGAAACTTGTTCATCATACCAACCTAACCTCCAGGATTATATAGCTATCATAAAACATTGAAAATACCTTATACAAACAATAACAAATATATAAAAAAGTGATGTCCGAATAGCCCCGTTGTTGGGGCTTCTTGGACACATCATAATTATATAGGTTTATACTTTTCACTGAAGAAAGGGCAAAGTTAGCGTTGTTAAAAAATGTTGTAATGTGTCATCGCGGTTGACTAACGACCTGGACCGCTTGATGTTTGACGCTATTCTGATAAACAGGTTGTTTCTTGCGATAAAAGAATCGATGGAATCTGGACCTGGACTGTTGTTCTTGAAGACCTTGATCTGCCTCCCTTGTTTATCTAGGTATTTTTTACCACATCTCAAATGTCGGCCTTTGTCAAGGGAAACCCCCAATTCGCAACAACACGCAAAGTTTCAAAAATCAACAGCTCCTTAGAGCTGCTTAAAACAATCGGATGTCCAACGGGTCTTGAATTCCTTTCAAGCATCTTCCGTGGTAATGCTTTCTGCGTTTCTGCGGCCTTTTTCCTTTTTCCGAACTGCAAGTCTTCCACTTTGTAATTCATGTGGGATTTTAACCCTGGAGTTTTTTGATACATGCGCACCATTTTTAATCAGTGACTTCCTTTAATAACAAGAAAAAAAACACCAGAAACAAAAACATGAACACGGATACGTTGTGTCCATGTAGCCCCGGGGTGGCCAAGTAGCCCCATCTTATGGTACCTATTATTTTTTAGGTTTGGAAGGCTCGCATGTTCTCGTTGCTTTCCTCGTCAAGGCTGTTCTTCCCTACCTTGTCGTGGTACTGCTGTTCTCTTCCTATTATTGCGTTGCCGTTTCAAATTATGATTTTATGCCATAATTTGAGGCACTTTTTTCTATGCTTTTTTCCTCCGTAGGGGCATGCACATTAGTAATGATAATATTAAAGAACTCCCCTTTATCCTTACACTGCTCATTCTATTCCTTAAGACATTTGCTTACAACTAATTGACGTTGTAACACCTCTTCTATGACTGGCTCTGCCCGGTCCACATAACTTCTTGTATGGCTGTTATGCCAGCCTTATACTTTTCTAGGATATCTCCTAGTGTTTGGAGTGCTCTGCTGTGATACAAAGTCTTCACGTTCCAGAAACACAACGCTTCCCAATGAAATTGATGGCCACAACCTTCTACTGGGTTGCTCGGGTTCATACGGTACACCAACTTGGAGATGAAAAGGAGAGACTAACAAGATCCAAAAAAAAGTTCCAGAAAACTACAAAAGGAATAAATTTACTCTGCACCACCCTGAAGGTTACTACAAGAATCATAACAAACAGTAAATCAATGTATTTCATTAGCAGACGAGCAATAAACTTGGGTTTGGGTTCTTTGTCATCTTTGTCATTAGACAAATAAAGGAAAAGTCGCCATCCTTCATGAGTATTATCGATCTACCCAAGGGAAAGCCTTCGAATACAGTTAAAGGTCCCACTTTTTGATATACAAATATCGCACAGCATTATTAAAACAATCGAAAATATGCATTTGGAAAATAAGATTCAAGAAAAAAGAAATGACGAACTAGCTGAATAGATTTATGTAAATTATGAGGTTCGGCTTGTCATTGATCGTCCATGAAAATACATAGAAGAAAACTTAATCACAAAACAACCTTTTCGACGTATTATACTCAGCTCCGACTCGGTCGAAAGTTCTGATTCGATTCCTGTTTAGTGCTTCTATAACTATAATATAGGGTGCCCATTATGTGTGGAATATAGTATATATCTTTGTAGGTATCAACTTTATAAAAAAACATATTGTTCAATTGTTTTTAAATCAGAAAACAAATGAGTAACCAATAATACTTAAATTTTTTTAAATGGCAATGTATTCTTTCTTTAGGCTCATTTGGTAGAGATTACTTTTCTCTTTACGATGGCGTAAAATTTTTGTATCCTTACATCAGAAAATTTTTGAGAAAAATGGAAAAATTGTTTATTAATAAAAATTAATCAAGAACATTAATCTAGATATCCGAGATCGTCAAGTACCTCGAATTATTACTGTAAATTCATTTACATACAAATATAAATAAAACAAATAAACGAAAAATTAGTGTACATCTCCAATAATTCGAGATACTGCGAAGTCTTTTTATAAAGTTGATACCTACCAAGATATACAGGGTGATTCATTAGCTCTATGACAAACTTTGGCAGATGAAAGGTGGTCCGATTCTAAGGAAAAAATGTTATATGAATATGGGTCCGATTCATTTTGGTTAAAGAGTTACAAGCCTTTGAAAATTTTACACAGTTTAATAGGCAAATGAAAATGTAACATAAAAAATAAGTTTAAAAATTACAAAAATTGTTCGAAATGTCCGCCTTCAGTTTGAATGCACGCCTCACATCGACGAAGTAAAGATTCTATCACACGACGTATGATATTTGGATCATTCCGTATGCTATTAGCTGCATCTTGAATTCTGTCCAGTAGTTGCTGACGGGTAGCAATTTCTACATGGTACACAAGCTGCTTCATGTGTCCCCAGAAATAATAATCCAGCGGATTTAGATCTGGGGATCGTGGTGGCCAGACTACTGGACCTCCATTGCCAATCCATTTGTTTGGAAAATGTTCATGTAACCAAGCGATGACTTCTCTTCCTCGATGTGGTGGTGTACCATCGTGCTGATACCACATATTTTGAACGATGTTAAGTGGTACGTCGTCGATAAAATCGAAAAGGTTATGTCCCAAGAAATTTCTGTACATATTTGCATTTAAGCGTTCATTTATCACCCATACAGGTAGCAAAGAATTGTTAAAATGCCACCCCAAACGTTTACACTAAACCGTTGCTGAAATCTTCCTGGTCTAATTGCATGTGGATTTTGCAAGGACCACACATGTTCGTTATGATAATTATTTATGCCGTCCCTAGTGAAACACGCTTCATCAGACCACAGAACTTGGGAAATGAAGTTATTATTTTGAGCATGTTGCTGAATAATCCAGTGGCAAAATGCTAAGCGTTGCTCAGTATCTCCATCATGTAATGCTTGAACATTTTGGCGATGAAACGGATGTAACATTTCTCGATTCAATACACGCCATACAAAACTTTGGGATATTTGTAACATGCTATACGCCGAGTACTAATTGAAGGGTCGTCAAGTACTAAATCAATAACACGTTCTTCATTTTGTACATTCACATCATGGGGACGAACGGAATGTAGTGGAGCAGGGTTACCTATTTCTCTCAGTCTGCGAAATGATGCACTAAACACTGTATGGGCAGGTTGATGTCTACTTGGAAACCTACGAAGGTATTCTCTTGCTGCTTGCCGAGCGTTTCCGTTACAAAGCCCGTATACAAAAATAATATCTGCATATTCTTCAGTCGTAAATACATGCATTTTCGTTTTATGTTATATTTTTTTAGTAAATTGAAATGTTTGACATAAAGAACTCAGTTTTGTTATCACAGCCAACTCTGTATTTGTGTTTCATAATTATTGTTGTGATTGTTGCAAATCTTTACTTCGTCGATGTGAAGCGTGCATTCAAGCTGAAGGCGGACATTTCGAACAATTTTTGTAATTTTTAAACTTATTTTTTATGTTACATTTTCATTTGCCTATTAAACTGTGTAAAATTTTCAAAGGCTTGTAACTCTTTAACCAAAATGAATCAGACCCATATTCATATAACATTTTTTCCTTAGAATCGCATCATCTTTCATCTGCCAAAGTTTGTCATAGAGCTAATGAATCACCCTGTATACTATATTCCATACATAATGGGCACCTGTATAATTAGGGCTCTAGTGTTCTTGTGAATCTGTGAGTAAAAGCCTTTTTAAAATCTACTAAACAAAGGTACAAGGGTTTGTTACACTCTATGTACTTCTCAATTAATTATCGTGGTATGTATATCTCATTTAGAATCGGGCGATTTTCCTTAAATCCTTGCTGTTCATCAGTTATTTCAATTTTATCTGTATTTTGCTGCTTATAATTTTCGTTAATAACTCACATGTAGTATTCGGTAGAATTATATTCCTGTAGTTGTACCTTGTTTTCCATTCGGTGGGGATTTGTATTCGAGATAATTTTTTTACACTGTTTTTTTTGTTCCTATGCCGTGTATTCACAGTGATACTAATAATGTTTGATTAAAAATGCATTAGAGTCAACTTTATTATTTTTTGTGGTGTTCTTATTGTTAGTTAGTTTAATCAACCGTCCATCACATGGTCATCATTAATACTATTTAAATCTACAGTAGATATCTTGAGTATAAATCTAAGAAATTAATAGCTGCTGATAACAGAGCTTATGTGATTTCTGTTTAAATAGCTTTTTTGTGAAAAATATAAGGAGCTTTTGTCCTTTGTCAATAATAAAAAGGATTTCATAATTTCCTGTGATGCATGATTTGTGAATGTAATGATATCTATTTGTCTTTCGGGAGTATTTCTAATGTAGTTCGTAGAACCGCACAACGTGGTTCTAGGAACAACGTTATTTTACATCTTATGTCAATATTTGCTGAGGTGACAGTTGTTCTTCGAAAATTTTTTTATAAGCTTCTTTGTATTTATAAGTTTCCGATATTTCTGGTAGTTTTTATGACTTAATTGCAGTGATATAACGAACAAAGACGGGGTTGTATACACGTAGTTACGAACCCCAAACTCTGGCGTGAGTTGATCAGATCCGCATTAATGGAAATTACAAAAACATAATATTTTAAAACTTAAATACCATTACTTTGCGTGAAAATACAACAATTTATTTAAAATTTGTATTTTTCGAATGTAAACAATAATTAGTACTGTAAATACTGTTTAAGTGTTTTTAATTTAACATATAATAAAAAAAAGTGCGTCCTTGGACCTAGTTCACTAGGAGGGCCTATCATAAATCATGTACAGGTACTTTTTCGGGGTGATAATTACTGCCACTACTGTTTCTGAGGGTCATAAAAACCACCAAAAATATCGGAAACTATACCTGCTCGTATTGAACAAAAAAAAACAATATATTTAAATTAAATTTGTATTATAAAAGTTAAATTTAATCAATTTTGTTTTCAGTGCCGAAGATTCCCATATTTGGTCGATCATCTAGGACACATTTCTAAAAAAAACTCTTTCACCTTTTTCTATCTCTATCAAGAAAATCAAAATAATTGAGATCTAAACTATTGGTACTATTTTTCAGTATTATTATTAGAATTAAAAATAGTTAGAAAAGAATATCAGTGCCTTCCACTCTGTACTTAAGGTTAATTTGTTTATAAAATGTAATATGTATATATTTATAAATAGAATGATGTAGTTTATATTGATTTTACTTTATATGAATGAAATTAAATAAATTAAATAAAGAGTTTTTTTAATCTTTATTTTCTAATTCTTCTTTTTCTATTTCAAAAATTAAATTAAATACTTTTTGTTTTGCAACCGCCCTATTGATTGGTGTAAATTGTTTGACTGTTTTAGCTAAACTTGCAAAGAATAAATCAACGTCATCCAATGATTCATTTTTGGATTTCTTTTCGTGTAAAATATTCATCAATGCTGGTCCTGATAATTGCGATTTTCTTTTTATTGGTATTCTTAGCGTTGAAGAACTAATACATTTGAGTCCTTTTTCTTCATCACTTTCTTGATCTCCAGTATTATCATCATCTAAAATCACAGATGCGTTCCAACTATCATCAAACACCGAAATAGTATTATTACTACTCGACGGGTTATTTCTCTCTTTTTGCTTAAGAAACGGTAACAAGAAAAAAACTTCATCTTCAAACTTCCATTTTTTGCTACTTCCCCCCGAGCGTTTCCGCTTTTTCAAAATTCTTCGATAACCGTCTCGAATGTAGTTCCAGGTTTGTTTACAACATTCAGCTGTTTATTAAAACGTTTTTGTTACAAAAAATAAAAATAAATAAGAAATATCTTACCAGTTTGATGAAGTTTTTGTCCAATTTCTCTCCAAGCAATTTCTTTTTTGTCTAAATCAGAATAATATTTATCGTTATTATCATATAAACAACGATACTCCCTAACCAGTTGTATAAGTTTTTGTTTATCCATTTTATTAATTTTTTAAATATCAATTTTACGTCACGGTACAGGCACGTTCCGCAACGTAACGTTCACTAAAATGGCCTCGTGATTTAATGTGTCTGACGTAGCAACTCAGAACCACATCGTGTCTGATACGAAACGCTCCGAACAAAATTAATAATTAAATAGGATTTGGAAAAACATCATTGAAATAAAAAATTGATTATTTATTTGGTATGAAGACGTTTGGTTATAAAGATACAAGAAATAAAAATGAATAGAAAAGTAAACACCACATACTGATTTAATATTTTGGAAATACAAGATTTACCGCCATCTTTGACTCAAAGTAAAATGTATAGTATAGTAAGCTATTCAACTCAATGTGTATTTTAAAGTAAACTATAAAAAACTTTAAGGAATATAAAGTTCTCTCCTTGCCTTATGTTAAAAGACTATTAAGGGTGTATGCCACCTTGGAGACCCGAAAATAAAAATAACTTTAAGATTTTTTAGTGTATTTTATTTATTAACAGTTATTAAAACTGCACCTGTTAAATGTCTGCATTGTTAGGCTATGTAGTTATAAGTTAATTTTAAATTAATTAATTTGTTCTAGATAGAAAATGAGAACGTCAGTTTTTACGGTTTTTAATTTAAATAATTTATTTATTATTTTATTTGTTTATTCACGGTAAAAAATAACTAACTCTATTTTAAATCTAACATGTTTCCAGGAGGTCCATTCACTTTTCGAGTAAATATTTCAATCGGTTATTAGAGCAAATTTTAGAGATTAAATGAATCTATGGCAAAGTGAATTATTTACTCTACTATGAGTGAACACAGATTACATATTAAATCTCGGTAGAGTTGAAATTATAATCTATACAGATTTTACAATCCACTCGAAATTAGTGTTTGATATATTCTTAATAGAATGCTACAATCTACGTAGAAAATTAGATTTAGGTATTGTGATGAACGTGTATTTTATTATCAAAACACAATTTTTAAATATATAACAGAATTTTTCGGGAGCAGGTTCAAACAGAAATTCGTTAATTCAAAAATCCTTTACTTTAACACTTTAACACTTTTTTATGTTTATTTACTATTTTTTTTTGTTTCCATGACTTTATTTTTTGATATTAACGCCACCTCTTCATGCTATCATAAGTGATATTATTACAATTTCCCCATATTCAAAATTGGGACATTTACAAACGTAGATGACGGAAATTTTACAATTCAACGTTCCATTCTTTTTCTGTTGGTACAGTCAGCGTTTTTTTTTTTATCATCCACATTTTGGTTATACTGTCGATTCTCATTCCTTCTTGAATTTCCCGTCTCATTGTTAGTTCTATCTTGGGAATAATCCTTATAAATCACGTGATTCATATATACATTTTCTTGTTCCGGGGGATTTCCTCGATTCTGTGATACAAAATTAAATCTACGTGGTGGTCCTCTGTTTTGATAGTCATTATTTTGGAATCTTGATTGAGAATTTCTATATCCATAGTTATCGCGTCCATTTCCAATTTCTATTTCGAGAGTAATTATTACCATATCTATTATTACTACCGTTGGTTTTATCATTATTATCACAGTTCGTATAGTTATTGTTATTGTAATTGTAGTTTCTTTGATTTTGCTCTGGTTTTTTGTCGTAGTTGTAGTTATAGTTTAGTTTTGTATGTTTCATTTAATTTTCTTAGATTTCCTTCATTTATTACTCAATTATTTTCATCTCTTATTTTGTTATCTTCATTTATTTTTCGCATCATTTCCATTATATCATTCATATTTATTTGACTTTTCTCTGCTGTCTCCTTCTTATCGCCACTATTCGTATTAGCTATACTCGGAGTATGATTTGTTTCGTCGGCATCATCTTTTCTACCTTTCGATGACGCTCTGGTTTTTATTTGTCTTTCAGCTATTTTAATTTTTCCTTTTGGCCCCACGTTGGGCGCCAAAAATTGTGATGATCGTTTATTTGATATCAAAACTAACTTTTTAAAATATATAATAGAATATGTCGGGAGCAGGTTCAAACAGAAATTCGTTAATTCAAAAATCCGACTTAACACTTTTTTATGTTTATTTACTCCTTTTTTTTTGTTTCCATGACTTTATTTTTTGATATTAACGCCACCTCTTCATGCTATCATAAGAGATATTATTACAGTATATTCTAAATTGAGTTATAAGAAAATAGACAGTGTTCACAAAATAGGTTTATTATTATAAAAACTGAACGATCGAATAAATAATTGCATTTATGCAATCTTAAGATATACCAAGTCGCTATATTTAAGTAAGCATACTTAAATTATGAAACAAAATCATATGCAGGTGCCATTTTTAATGCAAAACACTTAAACTACTAATACGAAAACTTAAACTAAAAAATAAATTCATATTTTAATACCAAATAAGAATCAGCCTCTAATCGCGATTGCGCTAAATTGAACGGCTCCTTATATATCAAGAGATTTAAATCTACAATATTTAAGACTTTTTTAATAGGAAATTGCACTTTGAATGCATTTTATATATCCACATAAATAATTGTTTTTAACATTTTTGTTACAAAAAAAATCTATTTCCATCTATTTCTAATATTTGTTCAAACTGTGACAATTTCTCTTTAGTCAAACCAGTACATAGAATCATCCTCTTCTTATTATAATACGGATATTTCAACCATTTGGAAATTTTTAATTGGAAATCTGATGGAAATTCATTGATACAGTCTTTCAGAGTTTTCTTATAGATAAAATTTTCATACGTAACAATTGTTGATGGTCCAAATTGCATTTTTTTTCTGCTAAAAGCTGAACTGTTTCACTATCCTTTATCCTTAACACTATAATAACCGATTCGTTTATAACCAAGATAGGTAGTAACGACGGGAACGTTGAGAACAAAGTGAACGTGGTGAAGTTTCACATCACCCCGTGTTCAAGCAAGAAAGGTTGTGAACTTGTTAGGGCTTGTCTGGATTTAGAGTAACTTTCAACACTGTTAAGAGTTAAATTTTAATTCTAGCATGTTCAACGTTCAACGTACATCTACAACAGGAAACTTTAATCCGTTAGAGTATATTGAAAAAATGATCTCTAATAGAGTTTATCCATAAGTAGAGTAAATAATAGAATAAAATTTACTTTAATTTAGTTTCTTTATTCTTTTTTATCGGTTTCAGGTTGTAACAAGGTCCTTAACATTCACAAAAGTTGGTTTGTAATATACCTTATAACTGTACTAGGAATGTAAAAATGACGTATTATTAATTTGCTGCCACTGTTTGAACTTAGTATAACATTTTTCGTATATCACTTTTGACTTGGTTGGAATAAGTGCTTGCATAGCTTCTTCAGCACTTTTTAGCACGTTCTCAGGCAAATTAACGTCACTCATTTTAAAAATTATTGAATTTTTAAAAACTAAAATATTTTTTGATAAACATCTTTGTGACTACCTAGCAACCAACTTGTATAACGACTTTGACTTTTACGGAAAAAGTTGCCAATGAATTTTTGTTTTATTATTGTTCGCATTAAAGTCATAATAATTCATCAAAATGCGTAGGTAGTCGCCTGAAACCGATAATAGTATATTAAAAAACAAGTTTCGTAAGACACGTTTGAAATGCACGAATTCAAGTTGAAAAACGAGTGGCGAAGCCACGAGTTTTTTAATGAATAAGTGCTTTAAGTCTTATGAAACGTGTTTTTTATGCTATTTTTTGTAATTCGCGTTATTATCCTTTTTTTTCTCAAAAATAAAATAAATTTTGACAATGTAGGGAAATAGATATGTAGCAGTTGGTAACACCGTCACACTTGAAAATAGAAATTTGAATTGACAGTTAGAATCTGTCAAAACACAAAATGTATTCACCTGAAAAGAATGTTTCATGTACACCTCCCAAAATAAGAGAAATTGTCCAGAGTTCAGTGTCCTTATCATTGTGGACCTTGTATTCGATGCTAAGAACGTGTTTAAACATCTACATTGTCACATTGACAACTAGAAAAATTAATGCCCCACTGCCACTAACTTGAACTGGTTGCATAAAGTGTTACTAAAATCTCATTACAGCATCGGATGCTGTAAGGAGTCTCATTACAGCACCCGTTTGAGTACTGTTATAGCTTTCATTATCGTCGCGAATTACAAAAACTATTGAATAAACCTCGATGTTATGACACATTAAAGCCTTAGATGTCTTAAAATTTGTGACATTTACGGCTGTAATAAATGTCATAACATTTTTCGGTATGTTAATAGCTGTTATAAATATAACTTATCACTATGATATTATATTATAATAAATGTGGCGGTTGCCACGTATATTCCCCCCGCTAACATATAGAATTACAATTTCAACAAAAGACGAAGGGTAACTCAAAATTATTTTACAAATAATAGTAAAGAAGTTGCATTGCTTCGATTAACAAATATTTCGTCTTCCAACAAGGAAAATAATCATTGAGCTTGCAATCAATGAAAACGAAAACCTATGCGAAGTTAGCCCCCAATTTTTCTAGCCCCCAATTAGATAGGATTTTACATGCATAGTAATTTGATTATAACAAGAGAACCAGTCAACCGATTTCGATAAACAATGTCTCATTCGAAAGCTTAATCTTTGACCAATACGAATGTGGAAATGCCCGATTCGAAATCTCTTTCGAATTCTGCTAAAACGCCAAAATAATGCGAAGGTACATGAAAATAACACAAAAATGACCTTTTTTTATGTGGTGATAACTCGTCAACGATGTACCCGATGATCAAGATCTATACGTCAGTCGATTCGTCATAGTTTCTTCTATCGAAATCACAAAATGCCCGTTTTCAATTCTCTCCCGTTAACCTTGTACAGCCCTCGGAATGGCACCGTGTTCCGTGTGGCTCGTTGTTTATGCACGTGTGAACGCCCGAAAGTCTAGCCCCCGATACAAAAAAATTAATTTAAACTAAATCGACTATAATTCGAGAACGGTTTGGCGGATTATAATGTTTTATATCTCAATCGAAAGTTTATGCCTGGCTAAATGCCCGATTCGAAATATTTAAGGATTTTGATTAAAACACAAAAAACGAATTAATCAAACACATCAATTATCTCCTTAACTAATTGACCAATTTTAGTCATCAACATCTCGATCGAAAGTATGATCTACAATGAATGCGAAGGTGGAAATGCCCGATTTCAAAATTTACTA